GTTTTTCAAGGTACCACTAATTTATAACAATATCAGTCACTTGTATTCTAGTAGGCAATAATAAACGTCGTTGATGCAATATCTATTTATCTTATGTGGTCACTAATCTGTGGTTCATCAGAACTTGGGAGAAACTGGCTCACCCTCAGTAACTGTTTTATTTTCCTATTTTAAGAATCTTACCAATTCACGTTTATACCTGTTCTACCTTACTTATATCAAAACTTATTAGATAGGTTACTCGCAGTTTCATATCGTTTTCTTTCTTTGCCTATGTTTTGTGTATTTCATATCCTCGAAACCACTTTCTACATTATGTTTTCAAGTTATTTCTCTTCTTTCTTTGTGATTATAAGTAGAAGTAACCTTTTACTCTCTTATTTCTTTAAAACTTCCTCGTTGCTTAACTATCTATTCGTGGAATTCTTTGCATCTAGTAGTAGAAATAAATATATCTTTATTTTAATCACTTCTCCATCTCTGAAGATATTGTTTATTATTTATTCTCATATAGGAGATTATATTTTACAATATCAGTGCAATACACTTTTTGCCCCTACAGAGATTTTCCTGTCAATTAGCAAATTTCAAATTTCTTCTGAGAAATCAAATATCAGTTATATGTACCCATATCATATATACTAAATATTTAAAATTATGTGCCTGATTTTAATGTTTTCGTTATGTATTTGACATCAAGGGGTTTCTCTTTTGCATGGATTTCTCTCTTCTTACATTTAATAGATGATTTCTTATCCTTTTTGACTTACTGCCCTTACAAGAGGTAATGTGAATATATATATATATATATATATATATATATATATATATATATATATATATATATATATACCATTACAAAAAAGACATTTGATATTTCCAGAACACATAATTAATAAAAGTTGGAGCATAGAATTTAATATTCACAGGAGATATTGAACACAAATAAATCCATGGATAATTATGAAGAATATAACTCATGATATTACGAAATGACAGATAAGGGACTACAATGGCTGCTAAAGAATAATAACATAATTCTACCAAGAAATTGTGGAAAGCCGTATCTAACATTTTTTTAAAGGATAATGTACACAAAATAATTTTTATATCTTTTAATGTGAAATCATGTTGAAAACTATTGCGCAATGAGGAGATAACAATTGATTGTCTCACTTTACTCACCACGTCTAACGTTTTATATATTTAAAAAATATATATGTTAGCTATGGAATATATATTCCTTGTAAAGAAAATAATTTTCAAAAATTTATATTATAACGATTGAAAATTAATACCATTCTGTGAAAGTAAATTTTTATAATATATATTTTATTGGAATTATTTTTTTGACTTTTGAAAATATGAAATACTTATTTGTTTTCTAAATTTACTTTCATCTTGAAGCAGCTTAGAATAAATTCGTGCACACTTTTGACTGTTTTTCGTTCTAAAAATTAATAATTGAGGTATCTTGAAATGAAAGTTGCTAAGTAGGAAATGGAACCAAAAATCAAAGCTGGAAGCATTTCGTCCAGTGACAGAGATCAGAAAAAAGTACCGGCTTTGATTTTCTGATTCCATTTACAGAATACTGACAGGCAAAATCTTCATTAAACGCATAAAAAGTTTTCCTGAAGAAATAAACATTAATTAAAAGGGAAAACATCATTCAAGATTGCCTTGGAGAATGGTTACCACAGATATTACGTTTTAACTCGCTAAGATCATATGAGACTAGAGGAAATGTTCCAAATAATGAGCTTTAAATAGTGTTGCCTGAAGATCTGAGATGAAATTTCGGAATTATTAGATTATTTGTTCTGGTCTTCATAATATGTGAAATGTTGGTGTAGTATTCTTATTTTTCTTTTGATTACTGTCATTAAGTAAATTTTATATCTTTCCAGGAATTAATATTGCCACAAGTGTGCTTCATTGCTTTTATATTATTCTTTATAAAATAAAGATATTTTTAGTCATGTTTTGCCATTCCAAATCAAAACAATTCCACATTAGAAGAGCCTTGGAATTTCAAATTATAATTTAATAATAATCACAAACAGATTGAGATGAATATGATGAGACGCACTATACACAATATGATATTTTAAGACATTTTTTTATGTTTATAAGATTTGTATTTCATAGATACAAATATTTAAGTAAATGCTCTGTTTATAATAAAGAGTATTAACGACATTTACCGGCCTGAATATTTGAGATATTTTCATAGAAAATATGCGTACTCCAAAACGAATCGAACCTGTATCCTATACGGAACCGCCATTAGCCTAACGTGCTTTACCGATTGAGTCACAGCGGATCGTTTCGTTTAGCATGGTCGATTTTAATGTTTTTAAACTACAATTCTCCATGATCTTCTCTCGTTTATTCATATCTGCTCGATGCGTATCTAAATGATTTTTGTTTATACGTTCTTTTTTTTTATAAATGTCTCAAAATAATTGTCTGACTTTGCCCATTTTATAATGTGTGACGTCATTTGTTTACATAATGTATTATATTATACTGGGATTACAGATACTTAATTTTAAAAATTAAATTTAGCATTTAAAATAAACAGGATAGGTTTATATATGCAAGAAAAGATATTGCAAAATTATTTTAAAGTTTTGAATAGTATCTTTAAAGGGAGATTACATTGTGTATTTTATAAAAGAAACCTTAATTTGCATAAAAATAAACCGTAATTAATATTTAAAAAGAATCTGGATCAACGTATTTAAGCAGATATTTATTTTCATGCAGACATGTAACCATTAATTCATTTCTCTTGTTTAATAAGCTAGGCTTTATTAAAGTGTATTAAGATAACCAAATTTTCAGCCAGACGTATCTTACATATATTTCCATTTCTGTTATAAGATTTGTCACTTGCAAAACTATCCTAGATGATAAAATGTGAATTATCGTTATTGTTTAATTGCCAGAAATATTCTGAGATAGCAGTGCATCTATTCCAAAGATATAGAGATTCATTAACAAACACAGGAAACATAAGACAAAAGTAATGAAAATGATTTACTAATATGCTGATGGCTATAAAAATTAATTATCATTTAGCGATTTTTGTTATAAACCTTCTTTTTTATTTTGGCGAGTATAAATGTATAAAATTTTAATAGAAGCACAAAATGATTTTCAGAAATGAAAAAAAAATACCATACATTTTATAAACAGCAGAAATTACAATATGCAATTTGTTTTTGAAGTAGCAAAATAATTTCCCCTGAAACACTAGAAAGTAATCAGTTGAATAGGAAATGAATAATATAATGAATATTTATATCTATTGGTAACTGGATTTATGCATGTGTTTACAACACATATAATGAGAAAATTTAATAAAAATATTTCCATATCGGAAATAAAAGATATTAAAATTGAGAAATTCATAAAATATTCTTGAAATTATTTCATTGAGAAAGGTAATAATTTAGACTAACAATCTACACGTGATATTTTGAAATCCAATGCAGGGAAAATAGTGTTTACAGATCAAGTGAAATTTAGTATTCTGAGAATATCATAGAAGGAACATGTGATCAATATCGATCCTGTTATTAAAATACAATGAAAGAGACACTTGTATTTAGAATAATTAAAATTTGGTTGGACGAAAAGAAAAAAATGCGGAACTTCTTTGTAATACCAATCGACATAAATGAAAGGAGAATGCTGCAAATGTTCGACAAAGATCAACAGGAGAATTCAGGTAACAGGGATCTGGTTCTACAAAAAAATACTACGAATGATATGGGAGGAATATGTGCACAATAGGGAAGTTCTACGGAAAATGGAAGTTAAAAGAAAGGTTTATATAGAACTAAAAAGAATTTTTAAATATTTGGAACACGAAATGAGCTAAGATTGCTTAGATAATTCGATACTCACGTGATAACTAAATCAAGAGGAGCAAATAAATACATCAAGTGACATATTATACAAGCTTGAGTACATTGATACCAAAAAAGAAATAAAAGAGGAGAATATTGCTTCGATTTGCAAAGAATGAGGAGTTTTAGCGTGATATGAACTCATACTAACATAAGAAATAACCAGAATAAAATATGGAGAAAAATATTTATATTTGACTAGCGTTAACTGGGGAAATCCCAAGGTTTTACAGTTTTTCATTGAAATTAATACTGAGATTTCCTAACTCCGTGAAATGTAAAAATTTTAAGTGAGCGTTTTATAGTATGGTGACAGTTATATTTTACCTGAATTATATCTCCTTGATTTTTTGAAAGCAGGACAAGCATGATACAATCCTGGATATTAGAACTATATCTATTCAAATCGTAATCATATTTATTAAAGTTCTTAATAATTTCATGCACATAGAAATCATTTACTACAATAAGTATATACAGTGATCCCTCGCTAATTTGCGGTTCTACTAATGCGGATTCACGACTTCGCGGATTTTTAAAATATATATATGGAAAATATATCTTAGAATTTCTTGAAAATTCTAGAAAACTCGCGGTATATGAACACCTAAAATTTCTCATTAAATCCATTAAAATATTAATAATAAATATTATTTCCTAGTCTCCGAACAACAAAACAAGCGTAAAATAGCAAAAAACAACATATGCAGGGGTATTTGAAATTGTTAATCACATGACAAAAAAAAAGACCCATCGAGAATGCAATGTGCATACAGTACCCGCGTATCATGTTGTTGAGAAAACGCAAAGCGTACTATCTCGGTGAGGAAGTGCGTTGTAAGACGGGCTGTGATTGGTGCAATGGAGGGAGACGACGAATCACAGCTTTCTATTTTGTAATTTGGCCTGCGATTGGTGCTTTGACCGATGCTCAAATCCGTAGCATCTTCCCTTGTCTCTCTCTCGCGGCCATTTCGCTTCAATCTTTCTCGCCGAGCATTTTACTGTACTAATTTACGCTGAGGTGTGTGTAATTCTTTTTGTTTCTTCGCGTTGAACTTTCCGTTTTCATCCCCTGCAATGGCTCCCAAGCGTGCTGCTTCTTTCAAGGCTGGTACTGAGACTAAACGCAAACGAAGCATGATGACGATCACTGAGAGGATGAAACATCTGGATATGTTGAAGGAAGGGAGAACATTCGCTGCCGTAGCCCGGCATTTTAGCGTGAACGAATCCACCGTTCGCTACATAAAGAAGGACGAGGCTAACATCAGGAAAACGGCTGCCATCAACTTTAATATGTCGACGAAGAGAGTGGTTACGGCTCGTAATACAACTAACATCCGTATGGAACTGCTTTGGCCGTATGGATAGCCGACTGCCGAAAGAAGAACATAGCCTTTGATACGAATATCATCGAAACAAAATCTAGGAGCCTGTACGAGACTTTCGCCGCTAAGGAACCTGAGGACGACAGTGGCGACCGCGAAGAAGGGGAAGAAGACGAAGACGAGGTAGAACATCCGCAACCAGGGACGTCTAGTGATTCACAACCTAAAAAAACGTCCTTTTTCTGTTGGCAAAATGATGGTATGTTACGTTTCAGAAACGCTTCGGCCTAAAAAGCGTTTCCATGCATGGCGAGGCTGCTTCTGCTGACACGAACGCTGCTGAAACATACGTTAATGAAACTTTCAAGAAGATTTTGTCCGAAGGTGGATATAAGCCCGAACAATGTTTTAATATGGACGAGACAGGATTGTTTTGGAAAAGAATGCCGTCGCGAACTTTCCTATACAAAGAGGAAGCAAAAGCCTCTGGCTTTAAAGCATACAAGGATTGTGTGACCCTCGTGATGTGTGGCAATTCTGCGGGATTTTTGTTAAAGTCAGGCCTTACTTACAAGTCTAAAAACCCAAGGGCTTTAAAAAACAAAAACAAGAATCTGCTACCCGTACAATGGATGAACAATCCAAAGGCGTCGATAACGAAGATGTTGACCTTCAACTGTCCTACCAGTGTTTTACCCGCAAGTCAATGTGTATCTATTAGAGCAGGGCTTGCCATTCGAAATCCTTCTCCTGGATAACGCTGGTGGCCACGCAATTGATTCGTTGCATGAGGGCATTCAGATTGAGTTCATGCCGCCCAACACTACGCCACTATATTCAGCTAATGGACCAGGGTCTTATCAGGGCGTTCAAGGCCTTATACACGAAGAATGTTCTGGCGTGTGTGGTTGCTTCTGCGGATGCCGCCCAAGAAGACGAAGAAAAATTTTTAACTTGAAGCCATACTGTTTGCAGTACACAATTGCTACGTGCCTCAAAATATCCAGAAGGCGTTGCAAGAAATGAAGCTTACCAGCATTAACATGAGCTGGAAGAATTTGTGGCCCGAGGTTATTTACGACGACAAGGGATATACACCTGCCGAAATCCAACACTCAGTAGTTGGCTGCGATCATTGGGCTGAGAGCTTTGCAAGCATGACCATGGGAGACATCGACGACTTATTCGACTGTCAATCCCAGCCGCTAACCGACCAAGACCTTGAAGACTTGACGAATTCGGCCAGCGAAGAAGAAGAAACGCAGTAAGAAACGGAAGAAGTTTTCGACCAAACGGGCTTGAATATGGAACGGCTGGCTAAGCTCTGCAATCTGTCTAAAGAATTGAAAGAGAGGTCACAGAAATGGGACGACGATATGGTTCGTTCTGTGCAAGGTCGAAGAACTCATGAATCCCGACGTGATGCTCTTTGAACGGAAAAAGAAGGAGCGGCAGCAACTTCCTATCACAATATGTTTGCAGCCTCGCAAAAAAGAGCCAGTTCCTGCTGCTACTACTACGGTTGCACCTTCGGAAGAAGTAGAAGAGATGTTCCATGAAAAAGGCATCGTCGTCTGAAGAGACGTAAAATACAATCATCGGCTGCACAGTAGATGTCATCATCAGCCACATCAGAATCATTCTACAGCGCATCATCATTCAAATTTTAATTCAATTTCTTTCGTATTGAGTATAGTAACAATCTTTATTTCTTTTAATATAAAGTGTTTTTGCTTAACAGTTGTCCTTGTTATTAATAGAGTATTGTAATGGGTGGGTTATTAACAGTACAGTGAGGGTTTATAAGCCCAAGTAAACGTTAAATTAGTACTGTAAATATGGCGTCCCTAATTCGCGGAAATTAAGTTATCGCGGCCGCTATCGGAACCAATCTACTGCGATAAACGAGGGATCACAGTAACTTATTTACAGCTAGGTGTTACGTATCCTATACACCTGAAGCTAATCTATGTGAAATATATAAATCTTATGTAATCTCAGTTAAATAACAATGTGCAGTATATAAGATCAGAATACAAAACCTGCGTGTCATTACATGAATAAAATAGGAATGTGATCATGCGTACCAAGGAACCAAAAACCGAAGTAATGGCACGGTTTTCTTATTTGAATTTTATGATAAATCTTTATTCTTAAGATAATGATTGAACAAGCTTATGCTTAATGATCAATCTTTATTCTTAAGATAATGATTGAACAAGCTTATGCTTAATGATCAATCTTTATTCTTAAGATAATGATTGAACAAGCTTATGCTTATGCCTAGTTTTACGTCAATAAATTATCCGTAGAAATTCTCATGTAGCATGTTTAAATATTTGAGATTAACAACTTTACTTGCAACTCCAATAAAAACAAGAAACGGCTTTGAAATTGTCAACATTTACCAATTCGATTAAACGTATTTTAATTACTACTTTCTTTTTTTCTTTCTCACTTTCTTTCATACTGAAACCATGTAGTTTCTTTGATATGGCTTTTCACACGAGCAAAATTGAATAGTCCATTATTTAAGATGTATTTGCAGGAGTCGTTACACTCTTTTGTCATCCTTTCATTTTTTTCTAATTTTCTCACTAAAACCAAGCAATTATTTATAAAGTACTGACAGGGCGTAACGGTCGTGTGAACAAACGAAGTCTCTAACTAATAAAGGGAGAATCAAACAGAAGTAAAATAAGATAAATTGAACGTTCACAACGAAGTAGTAATGATGTTGCAATTTATTCACAATGGATAATTGTGAAGAAACATTCTGAGCTGTATCCTAAACTGAATATTCGCCAAATCCCAGGTGCATGAGCCACTCAAATTCAAGTGTTATTAAATGAAGTTGGTATATCTCTGTAGGAGGGAGATGAGAGAAGTGAGTGCAGATTATGAGGATACGCTACGGCTGACCGTTGTCTTGCAGTGGTTATTAGTGTAGTGATCAGTGAAGCACATTCTCAGGCGTCACTTCCGTAAAGTATCGGCTTGGTGAAGTCGCTGTCCTGATGGGCTTTTCTTATTTCCAACGTAATTGAAGAGAATGAGGATGATTCGCCCATGGGTATATGGCTTGGCATTTTTAGATGTAGATACAGGAACTGTGCAAAATTTTTTTATCTAGCTAGACCGAACTTTTCCGATTGAAATGTCGAAAGAATAACGAATGATTTACATCGTTACATCTGTGCGAAAAAAAAACGGGTTGTGAAGTGGAAAATCATTCATCTTCTATGAGGTCATGTCAATGATTTTGAACTCTGTCAAGGCAGGGAAAATAGAATTTTGGTCTGTTTTGCCTCTGGTTGAGCATATATAACTGAACATTTTTTCTTGCGTCTTTAGCGGTGAATCGATATATAGGAATTCGACTTGAAATCTGGAGTGAATGTCTGTCTTACACGAAGTCCGAAGCTGGGAATGTCAACGAGAATTCAATCATTCCTTGTGAGTGGTGAGATTGAAAATGAAATGTTGTTAGCTTGATTTTGAGAAAGTGAATGTGAAAGTCATGTTTTTCAGTATCTATATAGTTAGAGCTAGCTAAAATGAAAGATCCACTGGCAGGATTTGGTCATCATGATTTTTGTATACTCACTCAACCCTATACTCACTTATTATCGGTGTAGATATTTACTAAGGATCGGAGAATCGTCTTTGTCAGATCGATAAAAAAAGCAGAAAAATGGCATTAGTGACTGCTGAGCTTTGTAGTGCACTCGCATTCGTATCATAGGCTTCAGAGTAGTCATAGTTAACGACATTCAATGAACTATAGGAAAGGGTGTTATGATAATGTTTGGATAACTTCTGTGGCATCTCTCTATGTAACACATATGTAACACATATGTAACACATATGTAACACATCTGAGCTATCAACTGGAATCGAGATCTGAGATTCGTTGTGAACTCTACGATCGTTTCGACGGCTGCGTAATATATACTTTGCTAGCATCTTTAGAATAGAGAAAGATGTCTTCTAAATCATCTGAAAATATTAAAAACGGGAAGATTTGGTTAGATACTAAGTAAACAGTGTGAATCTGCCATGTAATATAAGTCCTCTTATATGGCAGTAAACACTGGACAATTTACTCAAAGATGAGAAATCAAATCCAGGTAATTGATATGGTTTTAGAGAATGACGTTGACAATACGGTGGATGGAGAATGGGAATAATGAAGAATGTTTAAGCAAAATGGAAGAGTAAAGCATGATTCTAAATGGAACCAGAAAGAGAATGCTGTAATTTCTAGGTCACAAAAAGCTGAAAGTGGGTTTGAAAAATGTTACACTTAAGCGATAAATGAATGTATGTATTTAAGAGGGGAAAAGATTTTAAGATTCTAATGACATTTTGTAAGTGTCTCGCCGTACAAAGAGAAATGGAGAGAGAGAGAGAGAGAGAGGAAAAGTAAAAGAGGAAAACATATTGCTCAGAGCTAAAAAAAGATTTAGAGCGACGAACGCCAACGGCTTGAAAGGATATAGAAAAAAAATGTTTAAAGGAAAATATGTACATTACAAAATTCTTTAGACAAAGCAGGGAACATTACTTTATGTGGTACTTCATTGTAGCAATTTCTTTTAATAATAATAATAATAATAATAATAATAATAATAATAATAATAAATATGATATAATATAAGAAATATAATATAATAAACATTTATATCATATTGTCAACCGGATATGTGGATGTGTTTATAACACATATAATGAGAAAATTTAATAAAAATATTTCCATATCGGAAACGAAGGATATTAACAATGGGAAATTCATAAAGTATTCATGTAAATATTTCATTGAGAAAGCTAATAATTAAGAATAACAATCTACATGGAATATTATGAAATCCACTGTAGTGAAAATATTGTGTCATTAAAATGAATCGCCCATGACATCGTGCTCAAAAGACATTAAAAGCAAAATGTGATTACTTACTGACATTGCATTCCCTGTACATTGTAATATATCATTCAATATCTTCAAAAAATATTATAAAAGGATCATGAAGTGGAAATCTAAATAAATACAACACGTGATGTCAGAAATAAGCCCAGTTGTAGTTGGAGTCATCGGATTGGTCCTTAAAGAAATGCACACATTTCTACTCACATGTACAGCTCTCAAATTACGAAGAGCTTTATCTATTTAAAATGTGTGTGATGTTAATTTTCTTTTCTTTTTGTTTGTTATTTACAAACAATGGAAATGTCATGAAGCAATTTCTGTCCTTAGGCCACTGGTTGGGACACAGAAGGGAATGTGTATTCAACAAAGAAGATAATGATGATGATATCTGCATAAAAATCACCATTATTATTATTATTTTTATTATTATTATTATTATTATTATTGTTGTTGTTGTTGTTATTACTGGGTCATACTTGCTAGATGTCACTTGTAAAATTAATTGTCGTGGATAAAATTACAAGAGGTAATTGTTGTGGATATTAAATTAATTGTTGGGAATATTATATTAATTACTGTGGTTAAAATTTAATCAACGAGAGGCCGGGCTTTCCCGACTTCCTTTAAAAGAATGTTCAGCTCATATATCATTGGTCACAAAAGATTTACTTGTAAAAAATAATTAGCACAGGACTTTAGAAAACAAGAGCTAAGTATCGCTTCAAGATACGTAATCGTCGCTAATAATATAAGTATGAAGAAAAGAGTATTATAAAAGGTTGAAGATTTATTTTTAATTAATACATTGCTAAACATTGTACAATGGTATGATATCTCTGTTTTATATATTATGAATAGTGTTACCTGGAATTTAATATAAACGGGAATGCAATTATGAAAGATAAGTATGACAGAATAATGCTAATCTTCACTGTTAGGATATAAAGAAGATTAAAATAGGTTTTTACGGGAAAGAAATAATACAGATTATTGCATTCTTTATTGAAACTATTTTCTCAACTGATAAAATACTTAATGACTAATCATTTTTTCTTCATTAGCACTAATAACAGTGAATAGAAATCCTCCTGTACATAGAATATTTATAAATTAGAAAAGTCGGTTATTGGTTCAGATAATTATATCCATGTGCACTTCCTCCAGGAGAAATGAAAACCCAATTCAAATTCTTTCTCTCTCTCCCGCTGTGATACTTCAATATGGTAACTCATATGGCCTTATAAAAGCGTCGATCAATTATTACAACCTAATCTATTATTACTACTCCAGTGACGCCTTACTCATATTATATTAAATTAAGATATGAAGAAATATTCAGAC